TCTCACAGATAAAATGTCTGCTCTGATGATAGATGCTAAGATTATACATACACATTACTACATAGCATAAACATGGCATTTACTACCTTCAAAAACAAGCAAAAAGTGTCAATTATTCCCCACAGTATTCCCCACAAAGCTTTCACAGGCAGTTGATGATTTGCAGACACAACGATGACCTCACTCACTTCAATCATATATATGATAATAAACGTTAGGGTTTTAAATAAAAACCAAGTCTACACAAAATATTTGCAGAGATTCAAAATCAACTTATTAGATGTTTATTACATATAAGGCAATAAAGATAAGCTGATACACAAGATGTAAAGATTCATAAACTTGCACAGTAAAGTACGCCAAGTTTATTTCCCAACATCACTAAAGTCATTAGACAAGAATTTATACTATGTAGGTAATAGGTGACCAAAATACTAGAAGTTAAAATCCACAGTAAAGCAGATACCAAATCACATCTCCCAACAGTAGCCTCCTTTGTTACTTACAGACAACCTGTATCATTTGCAGATGCACTTGTGAATGCAGAGCTGGGATTTACACAGACCTCAGAACACTACGGAGCGCTCTGCTCTGATGCACGTTATTAATTCTCTACAAAGAACATCACAAGGATGTTTCACTGCTAACATTTACACTGGGCTTACCAAAGCTCTGAATCGTGGAACATCCACAGCAGGACACAACATACCTCAGTGTAAGCAACCCTGCTTATCCTAGCATTACACTGGATGTGCAAAACCCTGCATTTATCATGTGATGTTACACAGTATGCACACAAGGAAGAACAAAGGTCTATGAGATGGGATCCTTGTTTGTAAAAAAGAAAAAAAATAACAACGGTATTTTGTACGAATTTTCTACAAAAAAAAGCAGGTATCATTTCCCTCCATAAGGCATTTTCTTCTTCAAAAATACAGCTGAACAGAAAAATTCTGGGTCACAAGAAGTATAAACTGTATGTGTGGAACAGTTTATTAAAAAAAAAAAAATAAGCAAAGATCAAATGATTTGCCTCTACAAGCAAAGAGAAGCAACAAATCTGAAGAGTTCCGTCACTATTCTGAAAACTTCAAGCTTTCCCGATTTTAATAACAATAAAAAGAGGATAGTCACAAGAAAAGAAAAAAAACCCCTGCAAAATACAGAAAGATCTTTTGATCCATTTAAATAAAAGACACATGCAACAAGAACACACTGAAAGACTCTGAAACAGCACAGGTTCTTCATTCCACAGTTTTTGTTCTATATTATCACACTTAGTTCCTCTTAGCTTTTTTAAGGTTATTCCTTTTACTCAAAGCTCTACAGAGTTCTTATCAAAATCCAATCACTACATTCTAGCATAAATCCTAATGAATACATCACTAGATGTTAAAAATCAAATTATTTGTGAATCACCACTTTTTATATTATTTAATAAGCAAAGTTTGTAGTTCACTTGTGTGTTCAGATGGATATGCAAATGAATGTAATTAATGCTATAGCTTTCAAATCATTAACATTTATAAACAGAAAATTACTGTATCTGTCATCCCTAAAGGATATTCACCTGCAGGCTTTAAGAAAATCTTACACAACGAAAAAAACTGACAATAAAGTAAACATGGTTGAAAGCCAGCTACCTTCCATTTCCACTAAACCCACAAAGACAGAGTAAGCTTATGTAAAAAATTAAGTTCTCCTTTTGAAGGGATTTTAAAGCCGTATAAATGCTATAAATGCTACTAGAGAAGTGTTTTCATTTTCCAGGAACAGATGGACCTCACAGGAATTATATTATCTCTACTACCAACAAACCTTTTTCATTCTATCTATCAGTAATGTTTAATTAGGCAATAATAGGTTCACTTAGCATATGGTCCAGTAAAAGACTATTCCTTACAAAAGAGAGAAAACAAAATTGCTTCCTTTTTGCTGAGCTCTCTTAATACAGAATGTAGAGCAGGGTTAAAGCATGCAGTATTACTCCAAGCACATTAAAAGAGTATGTTCTAGTGATGAGTGAAGCTTTTTTCAGTGAGCTCATTTTGTAACAGTGTTAAGCTGCAAAGGTAATTCTGAGGTATAAAGTAAAATAAGCTAAGTATTTTGTTTCATAATGGTTTACTCAGAAAGCTGAGTGCTACAGAAAACATTAATTAAAACCAAAGATGACTGTTACAAATGCAATTATGAAACCAGCAAAAATACTTCTCGTTAGCCTGGACAAACATTGCATACGCGTTTCTGAATCAACTCATTCCACCATTCTTGCTTTAGGAGTACACAGAATGGCTGGGGTTGGAAGGGACCTTGCAGCCCACCCAGTCCTACCCCCTGCTGCAGGCTGCTTGCCCCCACCCATTCAGGCTGCCCATGGCCCCATCCAACCTGGCCTTGAGCACCTTCAGGGATGGGGCACCCACAGCTCCTCTGGGCAGCTGTGCCAGGGCCTCACTGCCCTCTGAATAAATAAGTTTCTTCTTACAACTAATCTAAATCTATCCTCTTTTGCCCCTTGTCCTGTTACTGGTCTAGGAAGATTAATAACATCAAGCAGGTTTTTGAGTGCTTATTTCACCTTATCTAATTCCCCAAGGACAACAGAGTAGCAACATTACAAATGGATCAGACATAGTTTCAGACCAATTTGCTTGAAACACAACTGAATGACCAAATCCACCTGACACAAGAATAAACAGAGTGACATTCATGTGTTGAATATTTGCTATATTCCATTTAGGAGAATTTTTCAACCATAACAGTTGAACTAACTTACGATTTTCTTATCATTGATGCAGATTCTAGATATTCCAGTGGACACAATCACTTAAAGGAACTTCATTGTAACGTGTATAAGTGAAGTGGAAAAGAACAAACTTATTGTAACAATAGGGGGCAGTAGATATAGTTGGCTTTAACTAGTTTCTGATCACCCAAGAAAGGTAGTGGTCACAATCCAGTACAAAAAAGGAATAGCTTACCCGTTTCCAAGGATCAGGGCTTGTTGGAAATTCCAAAAAGAGGCAATCTCCAAGTAGAGATGCTACACTTTTGGCTGCCAACCCTTAAATGAGGTTAGTAAATCCAGGGTTGCCGAGGTGAATTGCTTAGTGAATACTACCCTAATTCTATATAGCAATACACATACAACATGACCCATTTGTTAGGAATCTGTTTAAAGTGTTGGGTTTTTTTACTTTTCATATGCATGCACACTTAAAGAGTCGCTTTATTTCAGCAATTCTGCCTGTATATACCACTTTTACCTACCTGCCTCTGGAGTTCTGCCAAGTTGTAAGGTAATGCACCCTCAGCTAGTGGTGCTACTCTCTCAATATCTGCCAAAGTTAATCGCCTTAACACAAGGCAGAGGGAAGTAAATTAGTGTTAGTTAAAATATCAAACATATTCAATACAGTATTCTCAGCAGCATCTCACAGAATACATCTTGAGTTTAAAAAAAAACAAAACAAAACACTTGTCATATTTAAATGCATGTCTAAGAGTTCTGCTATTCTGCAATAAAGAATTCTTGGAGTTAGAAGAACATTCCCTTCTTGTAGCTGTCAAGGGATCTCAGGTTATTCAGAAGGGAGTTCTTGATTACTAATAATAAAAGATGTAATTCACAACTTAAACCATTTATAGGTATCCCTCCCCAAGAGTTCACATGCTAACAACTATGGGAAACATCAGTAGAGTTAAGAATAACGGAGAGTTATAGCTTTCTGGGATTACCATAATGCAATTTTGCTTTTTATATTTAAATCTACAATACAACAATCAATAATTGTGCTTGATATACAGGGTTCACTTAGAAAATATCTGCATATACCAGCCATTTTACAATGAATAAACTGTAATGAACAGAACACACAAATTTTAAAATTGAGTAGATTGTGCATAGAAAACAGCAATACGGTTGTAAAATGATAAAATTAATTATCATAAGTTACCCAGTGACGCTGTATAAACCTGTAAGTTGGTAAAGAATATCTATTTCCAACGGTGTAACTTGTCCAAATCGTATTGCAGACTGGGTAAATTCCTCTAGATTTAAAAGGGAAGGAGAAATAAAGCAATTGTGTTATTTGTCAAATTTCATCTTTATGGACAAATCTAACAAATAACTGAAATATCATAAAACAATGAAAACTATCATCAAGAAGCAAAATCCATAATGCAGAAGGAAAGATAACTTCAGGAAGACTTATCTTGAAAGAGATCTTTGAAACATAGAGCAAGTATGATTCAATACATCCTCACATCAGCAACACTGATAACATCACACACAAAATTTATGATTTTTTTTCTGAAGTTTTGCAAAATGAACAGAATAATTATCCATTATCCATAGCTTTAAGGGCAACTAACTCATTTACCACCATCATTCTGTGTTTCTTTTCTCTGTTAGCTCTCAGTGACCCCACAGCTATATGTTCACCTATCCAAATAACATTGCACATTCATTACGTGATTGGCAAGCTACAATAAGCAAGTTTTAGTGATGACAGTTCAGTAGCTTTTATTCACTACACAAATCCAGGCAAGACGTGTCTATGCATTTACATCAAGGAAAAAAAAAAAGCCAGGTAATTTGTTAGCACTATTTGGAGGACAAGGACAGTTATTTCACACTTTTCTCTAGGGATGTAAAGTATGCTGAGCATCTGAACATAAAACAAACATAAAAGAAAAAAAAAAAGAAAAACTCTGCATGCTTTTTACCACACATAGACTTGGCTGGTCCTGTCCATGCAGGTAATAAAGTCAGAGATAAAATATGTCATAAAATGTCTACAAAATAAATCCACTGATGCCTGCAGCAAGTCTGATTCATGTCTACCTTTCAGTGGTACAGGGATTAACTATGTCCTGTATGTCAACATAAACTATGTAAAACCACTCAGGCCAGCAAAAGAAGTTATGAATTATTACCTTTTTTCTAAGAAGGATTTAGTTGCAGATAAAATGAGCTAAAGCAATATGGAGATCACTGATAATGGATTTTCAAACGTAACTCCTTCTATCTTATTTCCTTGGCACCTCCTATCTCTAAGCAATAATATACCTTTTTCAAGGAGTGGTAAAATCCCCAATGAAGTACCATTTTGCAGATATCCATACAAACCACAGTCCCAATTCTTCTTCTTAGTGAGCTTCCTGAAAATCATTACTAGCCCATGAGGATGAAAATGACCCTTAAAATATTTCTACAGTAGCGCTAACGTTGTATGCTATGCAGCCTCTGACTTGTCTTACCCTGTATGCAACAACAGCTTACAAATTGGACAGAACTAAAATATTAATAAAAAGTAGGAAATATACTTTACCTTTTGTGACTTCAATATCTTTTCTTGTACCTGCTATATTACTGTATATCTTCCTAATGAGATCCATGTTATTCAAAAGGGCATTAAATGCATTGAAGTAGGAGAAGCTGACCTGATGTGAAACAGTTCCACCAGCTACCTGTAAAAATTAAATTACACAGTTAAATGCCTTGAGCCCCTTTTTTCCAATGTCTTATTACAAATTACAGAAACATTCATTTGGGCAAGTAAGGAAAGAATTTAAGATACCTTTCTACCTCTGTAATTTTAAGCTAGTTTTAATAGAAATACAACAGTAGAACAAATAATGGCATATTTTTTGACATAAACTGTAATAAAGTTATCCTTTACCTCATAAACTGTACCTGCAGATCTTGCCAGTCATAACAGTAACCATTCTAACTCTACATGCTTATTTTCCAAACATCAAACTGAAAACAATATAAGAACACATAAAAGGGCAAAACTGTAAGTAGTCTACACCCATTCTGATCCGTTCTATATCGAAATCTAAAAATCAGAAGCTTTAGCCCAAAATTGGTATTCTTCCTGTGTAAAATAGTTTGCTCTGCTTTAGGCAAAAGCACAGTAGATAACTCAAACTGCATCCAATGGCACTTTAAGCATTTAAACCAGACTGCAAACTTTTCTACCACATAACCGAGAAGCGTTGCCATGTTTTGTCCTGCCAACTCTACTATGAAGGTAATAATTTCTAGCAGTGAGAAAGTGATAAACATATAGGAGAAGAAAAAGTGGGAGAGAAGCACTAACATTTTAAAACATCACAGCTATTAAACCCTGAACTCAAGATGTTTTTCTTCACACTTACTGAAACTAAATTTTCTTCCACAAATGGTGTCAGCATATGGGAGTGAAGGGTAACCATGACATCACTGAAGTCCAGCCCAGTAATCATGCCACTTTTATTTTTGTCCTTCAATGCAAAGGCTTGTCTTGCATGTTCTGACTGCAGCTCCTAAGATTAACATTCAGAAATTGTGTATTAGCAAATTCTATAACCCACTGTTCACAACATTTTGATTTAGTTTATAATCTTACAGCACGCCGAAATACATTTGTGCATGCAGATCACAGACAATTGCAATTTAAACTTGAAGGTTAGTCCAAATAAAATAAGAATTCTGCATATTTATTCATTCCATGCACAGATTCATTCCTCTGGCATAGAACATCCCCTATTCAATCATAAAGAAATATTCACTTTCCCTATATTTAGTGAAATATAATAGTGATATATTTAGTGATATATTTGAGAAGCAATATTTGCATACTTATGTTCTTGCTGCTACACATTCCCTTATTCCCCTGATATTGATCTTAAAGATTCAGAGTTCGAGACTAAATATGATTGGGGTTACATGGTTAACAACATCTGGTTATATTAAGGACATAATCTCTGGTTGAGGTTAGTTTTTTTTATTAAATTCCTACAACAGAAAAAGGAGTCTGCTCAGTCAATGTTCTAACTGCACAAGATTACAACGATCAGTCAAATTGTTTATTTCATAAACAGAATATTTAATCCCACATGTTTATAGGATGATATGCAAGCTAAAGGACAATGAGTAAGCACTCCTTCATGAACCCGTATAGAAAAGTAATAGTTCATTGTTGCTAGGATTAGTATCAGATAATTGTGTTCATTACCAGACTAAGACCAAAATTTATAGTGATATAAATTTACTTCTGGAGATTAAAATTGATTTCAGCTGTAGTCTGAAACAAGGTTAATAACTAACCTGAAGAAACTGAGTGAACTCTGTATAGTTTAGATGCTTCTTTCTGTTGTGTCCAAAATGCAGCCGAATGAATTCACAGTCCCAGTTGAAGGGGATTTGATGATGAATAGTAGTTTGTTCAAACACTTCTTTGACATTTGCTTTAAGGAAGGGAAAAAACAAGAAGTGAGGTTTGGGGTAAATACAAACATTCCAGGAAACAAATTAAGTTTTAAGGAGCTGTTTAAGAAGTGTTTTGTTGAGAATAGTTACTAACTGAGCTTTTACAGACTTGCATAAGAACACATTTGCTATCCAGTGTGATACTTTGTGTATTACCGCATAAAACTTTGGAGTGTTTTGCCTAGTTTTAATTAAGAAGCGATTTATCTTTTTCCCTTGTACACGACAAATAAGAGCTAATTTGCATTCCAATACAAAAAACCAATAGAGGTTCTCCATCTCTGCCAGGAGCCAAATTAAGCCCTTTATCAAGGGCACAAATACCTGCATTACAATCTCACAGAATATCTGTCATACTAAGTATGGTTTGACTGAAACTTGATTATTACAATCATACAGTCTGAACGTGTCTATTGAAGATAGGTATAAGAAATGCCACCTAAAACATATTATTAGCTCAGCAGAAAGCACCTTATTAAAAGCTTTTGATAAGGACTTATAAAAAAAATCGAATCCTATAAAGCATAATTGGTAGTCTCTGTTATTAAAATGTTTTAAGACAAGTGAAGATAGAGATGTCCTCATACAAATGAAGGGAAAAAAAGCTCTCCTTTCAAGATATGGAATTCTCTATATGTACACTGTACAACTGAAATACCAGACCTAACATATCCAAAGTCAAAAGCCTCACCTAAAAAAAAAAAGTTTCATTTATTCATACTCAGCATTGTCACTCTGCAACACAAGCGTGGGTTTTGTGCTGATTATCTGACCAAATAAACAGTACAAAACAGTAAAAACAGTAAAAGTACAACTGGACATCTATCCATACCATGCAAACTCTTTTCAAAATCTACTTTGAAGTACTTGAATTTATGTTAGCTTTCATCAACTAATCTCAAACCTGCTAACTGCCAAATTAAATTGTGTCATATAGCTCAAATTTAAAACAGAACACACATCATTTTGCTGAAAACACATCTATTTTTTTATAAGTTTAGAATATTTGCTCAACACTGCATCAGTGTATCTGTTAATCAGACATATTAAAGGCATTCTGTGGAACTACTATTCTGAAACAGTTCTGTCAAAAGACAAAATGTAATCAGAAGAACTTTAATGTCATTTTATCCTTCTATCAAGACTAATTTGCTTGCAGTGTTGCTTTCTCTGTGATATAGGACTGTTCGATTCGTACACCCTTTCAGATCTGTAGCTATTCTAGCAGTGAGCAAATCACTCTATGGTTGTATATTTTCAGCAAGAAAAGGAAAGGAAATCTTTAGAACAAATATGTTTCAGAATGAGAACACACAGTAGGATTCTTTCCCTAGATCACTTGCTTCACAGATAGTTTGAGATTACCTATTTAAAGGGCAGACTACGGCTATTGAACGATTTAACTGTAATTTAGCCCTTACCTAAAGGTCTAACACAGACAATAGTTGAAGAACTACAATTTAAACCAGTTTTCAATGCAAGCTAGGCTAAATGAGGTGTTCAGGTAAGCAGGAAACTTAAAAAAAACTTGACTACTTTCAATTGCCCATTCATATCTACTCACTGATATACTAAGTGAGGGCTAAGAAAATAAGATAAAGCAACACATTCATACCACTGAATTATATTATTTTGCCACATTTCCTTTGAAAGTTTTGTCTGTAGTAGATTTACTCGCCATTGCTACAGAAACCAGGAGAGGTAAAGTTAAATTCCCCACCTACCATTGATTCACTGTGGCTTCTGGCCAAACTAACTTGAGTACTACAAATAGATCAATGTAACTCATGGTTAAACTTGCAAAATGGCACTGAACTGTAAAGGGAGCACAAGACTGGTCTGCTTAATTGGATCTATCGGCTTGGCCACCAGTGTACAAGCACAGTGTCTGCTAGAAACTAAACATCTGTAAAACTGACTGCCTCTGTAAGATCTTCTGCTAATGACTAAGGGAAACATACTGAAGAACCAGAAAATTTAAATTGTATTATCTAACACCAGCAATTATTTCACAATGTTAGAGAATGGTTAGGAAAAAAAGTCTCGGTTTTTTTTTCTGACATGAAATTATTCATGTGTTCACATAGACAAAACTTCCAATGATTTTTAATGAGACTGAAGCAGCTGGTCTTTCCATAACTCTCACTCTAGCATTTAATTGTATATGACTTCAGCCACCGAGGATTAGCTTCCAACACTATTGGTTTTCCTTCCAAAAACATTTATAATTAGTCATCAAGACGTCACACGTTGAGATCCTTCACCACATAAAAATAATACTGGTAAACAGATTAATAAATCTATATTTAATAATTGAGTGCATCAACCAACAAGCTTTACAAATTGGTATCCAAATCATACTTTGGCTTCTCTGAATATTGAAACACCTTATCCACTTTTTGTCACTTAACAGTAACTGACAATCAGCAATGTGTACCTGTTGTTATGGTAATGTGAGTTTAAATACATGGGCTGTACCTAATGCTTATCCTCAAGTTACCTTTGTTTATGAAATATTTGAGTAGCAGAAGCAAAAGCATCTATCAGTTATAAATAAATCAGTTGCAAATAACTGACAGAATTAGAACTGTTGAAACTCTAAATAACGTTTACTGAAGCCGTTTGGGATTCTCAAGCATCTCCAGATAACCACTAAGACTTACTAACTTTCTACCCAAGGATAGCAATGCTTTCTTCATAATGTATCAAGAATATCTTCCTTAATACAATTCTGTTGGCATTTCTATTATTTCAGAGTAAATACTCACCACTATTACTAACAACTCCATGAGGAGAAAAGCTACAAAAGGACAATCATGTTTCAGGGATCATACACAATGTGATCATGACCTACATTTTGATCACTTTGAATTAGGATCAAATATCTGATTTTTAACTATTTTTTTTCACAGTACAAAGTAATGATAACAAAGAAAGTGTTATCTAAATAACATTAAAATACAGGTATTGCTTTTCCTCCTTTTTTTTTTTTTTTTTTTAAACTCAGTCAAAACTCAATAATGATTCTAAATTAAGATAGACTACAATTCCTTCAAAATTTCATCACAGCTAATTTCCAGGGGGCAAAAAACCAAATTGTTTTTACCTCCTTTCATTTTAGTATGACATTTTACAGAATGCATTCACTGCCCCAGTTAATGCACGTTGCTCATTTGCTAATGCCTTCTTCTACACTTTGCTCATCTTTCTGCAGTAGAATGCTTTCCTACTGAGTGGATAACTTTATTTCTGAGCTTATGGCAAAGCATTTTCTTCTCAGACAGGCATATGAGTCAGTTTACTGATAGTCAAATTACTATCAGCCCCAGGAACAATAAACCCACTACTCTAGTGCACTAGTACATTACCTCCAAGGCAACATGCATTCTCTCAAGATTGCTTCAGAATTTCCCCACCCAGTCATTTTAAACAAATTATAGATGCCTGGAGCAGCTATCTGCAGGCAGCATACACACAACCAGCTCAGTTCCCATCAATACCATTACCTTGCAGGCTCAGAAAGATGATATAAGAAAAACACATTCTTAGGCAATAGTGAATTTCAGAG